TATATATATATATATATATATATATATATAACTGAATCACTTTCTGAGCCCGGTTTTCTTATCTGTAAAATGAAGCAGGTGACCCGTGAGTCCTCTGAGAGCCTTCCCACTCCGACTTTTCATGGTTCTGTGATCAGGACGCATGGCTGCTCTACAGTGGCTGCATTATTAGAACTCAAAACTGGCCACTGTTAATTAAATGTCACATAATTAAATAATAGCTCCATTTAATGTCTGCCATGTGCCAGTCCTGTGCCAGGTTCTTAGCAAGTTTCATCCCATTTCAGGCAAGGGAAGGAACCCCAGTGCTCACAGCATCCCTGTACTGGGCATCTCATCACCTGCTTGCCAGTGAGATGTGGGGCTTCTGGACGTTGCCCTTGGTCTCAAAACAAGTGAGGGGCTGTGGGATCAGAATCCCCGCTTCTCAACTCCCTTCCATTTGGAAATCAAGTTGCTCTCTGTGCAGGCGAGATGAGCCAGTACATCCGAGGCAGAGGGTAGGCCACACGGTTGCCAGGTGGGTGGCAAGTAGATGGTCAGTGAGGGAAGCCCGTCTGTGAGACCAGGGGCGGGTTTCCGTCCTACAGTTGCCCTCCCTCTGGAGACGCGGTTCCCCGTGGGGGAAGCGCTGTTCGCTCATTGTCGCTGGGAGGATGCCCAGCATGGGGAAGGCCGGTGTGGGGGGCCTTGGAGGTGACCGGAGCCGCCCGTGCCCTGCTTGACCTCGACCTTTCCTCACTGCTCTGTGGGGAGGGTGGCCTCGTTGAGGCTCCAGTTGTGCTCCACATGGCCATGTGTGGACTGCTGTCTGCAGATTGACCCAGAAGGGAGCTTACTGCACCCAGGGGCTTCTGTTTTCACCTCTCAGGACTCAGTCTCCATACATATTGTCACTTGCTTTCATCACCTCTGAGGTTGCAGTGCAGGGTGCCCCCCGCAGAGAGACAGGAAGCCTCCTGGCATCAGGCGAGGCATCTGAGAGCCCGGCCAGGCGAGGCATCTGAGAACCCGGCCAGGCGAGGGCCCTTCCCGTCCTGGGGCAGGGGCACAGGGAGTGGGGTCACGGTGGCGTGTGTAAGAGTTGGGGCCCACGGCTGCTATTTCCTGGCACTGCTGTACCCGGGACTAGGTGCTTATGTGCTCCTCCTGTTTCATCCTCACAAGAATGCCTGATTTATGGCTGAGGCTCAGAGGAGTTGAATAACCTGCCAGGGGTGGCCCTGGGCACCTTGGGTGGGCACACCAAGAATCTGGCAGGGCCCTGAGCCTCTGGACTCACACTGTCTGCCCTTAATGACCTCACTGGAGGATCTTGACTGCCCTCAACGTCCAG